CTTTCCCTGCTCAACATGGACGATGCTGCCGCGCGCAAGTTGAGGAGAGCACGAGGTCAATCGAGGCGGATATCTATCAACGCGAGCAAAATATGAATGTTAACACGCAGATTGTTATGAGGTGGTTAGAATCACACCCCCCGTCACATGTGTGTGTGTGTGGGTGGTGCCGTCACATGTGTTTTGGCGGATTGGCGTCGGCTGTGTTAAATATTGCGTATTGTCCTTGTGAGCAGGGATTGGATGGAATGACTCCTCTAACGAAATGTTCACCTGTGCCATGGTATCGTTTTTGAAGCGGGAAGCTCGAAAAAACGCTTTCTTATGCAAATTGTGGAGTAAGAAGTGCATTTCAGACCTTGCCGATGCGCTCATCGTGATTGTTGAGACACTTTCCATGAGAAACAATCTTATTTTTGCTCTGGCAAAAGTTTGCAACAGGTTAAAGCTCACACAGGCGGAAAGCGGAATTTGACGTTAGATTTTAAAAAAAAAACAAAATTTCCAAAATGGCCGCCGGTTAGAGTTCAAAATGACCAAAAATTGATTTTTTCAGAAATTCAAGTTCAAATTTGTTTATCTTATGCCAAAATACTCTCAAATTCCAAGTTTTAGGCAAATCCATCAGCAAAAAACCGAGGTGACAATTTTCGGCCATTTTAAACTTTAACCGGCGGCCATTTTGGAAATTTTGGTTTTTTGAAAATCTAACATCAAATTCGTTTTTCTCGTGTCAAAATACCCATACATACCTATTTTCGCGCAAATCCATCGACAAATAACCGATGTGAATTTTCGGCTATTTTGAACTTTAACCGGCCGCCATTTTGAAACGGTTTGAGATGTTGACTTCGGGTTTGCGCGAAAAGTTTTCTTTTTTTATGTCTTTCAAACGAGCTATCACAAAGGGGGTCTTCCCATTTGAAAATTAAAAGTTGGGGGCCGTTGCCCCCCTAAAGGAGGTCCCCCTGAAAATTTTAGGGGGGCCAAAAAGTAGCTCCCTTTGACCTAGGAATATCCCCCAAGTTTCAAATCTTTACCTCAATTAGGTATACAGTTAGAGGGGGGTGGAAGGGACTTTTGGATCACCCTGTAGAGAAACAAATGATACATGCATTATTTCTAGAGCCAGAAATAGTCCTTCCTTATTGCAAAACGTAGTATAGTGTGAAGGTACGGAGATGTGCATCTGAGAATAGGGTGGTACTCATTATGCAAACCTGCGGGCTGATAGCTGAAATTGGTAGACAAATAAGACGAAGGGAAAAGAGAGCGATCCTATCAATGGAAGCAGGAGGTTGCAGTGGACATGGAGGTAAGTAATAGGCTAACAGCAACCCGTGAGAGACCCCAAAAATAGTGCATCATTGTTCCCCTCAATAACCAACAATAACCACCTATTTCAACCAATAAGATCACTCCATTTTCCCTCTGTCTTATAAGTTTAATAATTTTAACAATCAGCTTCCTTAGCACGGTAGAAATGGGCGGCGTTTAAAGCCGACAACATAAGACGGAGCACCAGGAGGTGACAATAGGGTGCGGCTTATTTGTATGCTAAAAAAAAAGTTGGAAAAGTTCAGCTCCCTGGTTTCCAATAGGTGCCAATACATAAAAAAAAAAAAAATTCCTGTAAAGTTTCAGACCGATTGGAGCATTTCTAGAACCTCCGCCGGGGACGTTTTTACCGAAAAATCGATTTTTTTACTTTTGCCTCTAAATAGCTCGCCCTGTGATCAAAAATGGGTTTTCTTCTGCAAGAAAAGCGCGTCGTAGCGAAAAAATGTTTTTTTTCTAAATGAAAGTCCGTGAAATTTTACACAAGAATCATATTAGATATGACGAGAAATTTCGAAAAAATCACCAATAAAATTCATCCATCGGGACAGATCTTCAAGCTCAAAAAATTGTGCCTGCACTCCGATAGTATATGCAAAAAAAAAAAAAAAAAAAGTTGGCCACTCAAATAGGTTCTGGGGGGTGATACAACTACAAGTTGTACACTCTTGCAAGCAAATTTTCTGATTTTTTTCTTTTTTATCGAAGTAAGTCCAAAAATACCACCCATTATTTTCCTTTTAGTGCTTTAAGTTATAGAACCTGTTTTTACTATGAAGAGGGCCTTCAAAGAGAAAATATGGATACAAAAATTTAAAATGCCCAGAACACTGACCAATAAAGTTTTTTACAGTTAAATAAACTGCAAGCTTTCAAAATTTTTAAAAAAAAAAATTGCTACTACGGTCATAACGAAGTGTTTAAATGACAGACCTGCATATTTGCTAGGAACCATCCGGAATTTTTAAATGTTAGATTACGGCTCTCTTATTTTGGACGCATTTTACCACTATGGTGCGAAGGCCGCGAATGAGCGCGAATCAGGAACAATGTTCTGTGTTTCTTTACATTTGAACCAAGGGTTCGATATTATATCGAATGATGTAGCAAGTAAATTAGTCTATTTAGTGAACACGGTACTGCTTGTCAGCAGATGGGTCACGTCATCGTTTCGTTAGTTTTCACGCGCGGTTTAATGATTTGCATCTGTTGAATCTAATACAATTTATTGTTCCTACTAGATCTAATTTTACCATGCGCATTAGGAAAGAATATTTTAAAAGGTTACAGCCTGTGTCAGACATTGTGTCTGATAAATTCCTGTCCAAAGAAGCAGTAGTTCGTTATTTTTTATTCGAGCATAATGTGCAAAAAAAAAGGAAGGAAAGAGAGTGCAGAGGTTGTTGTGCAAAAATTTAGATATTCTAAATATTTTTTTTTTTTTTCAAAATTTTTGAATCTTATGGTATATTAACTGAGAAAAACTTTATTGGTAAAACCCCGCAATGTGCCTCTTGACGGCCCGTGGCTAAATAAGAGAGCCTTAATCTAACATTTAAAAATTCCGGATGGTTCCTAGCAAATATGCAGGTCTGTCATTTACATACTTCGTTATGACCGTAGTAGCAATTTTTTTTTTAAAAATTTTGAAAGCTTGCAGTTTATTTAACCGTAAAAAACTTTATTGGTCAGTGTTCTGGGCATTTTAAATTTTTGTATCCATATTTTCTCTTTGAAGGCCCTCTTCATAGTAAAAACAGGTTCTATAACTTAAAGCACTAGAAGGAAAATAATGGGTGGTATTTTTGGACTTACTTCGATAAAAAAGAAAAAAATCAGAAAATTTGCTTGCAAGAGTGTACAACTTGTAGTTGTATCACCCCCCAGAACCTATTTGAGTGGCCAACTTTTTTTTTTTTTTTTTTGCATATACTATCGGAGTGCAGGCACAATTTTTTGAGCTTGAAGATCTGTCCCGATGGATGAATTTTATTGGTGATTTTTTCGAAATTTCTCGTCATATCTAATATGATTCTTGTGTAAAATTTCACGGACTTTCATTTAGAAAAAAAGCATTTTTTCGCTACGACGCGCTTTTCTTGCAGAAGAAAACCCATTTTTGATCACAGGGCGAGCTATTTAGAGGCAAAAGTAAAAAAATCGATTTTTCGGTAAAAACGTCCCCGGCGGAGGTTCTAAAAATGCTCCAATCGGTCTGAAACTTTACAGGAATTTTTTTTTTTTTTTATGTATTGGCACCTATTGGAAACCGGGGAGCTGAACTTTTCCAACTTTTTTTTTAGCATACAAATAAGCCGCAACCTATGGTGACCATGAAGCTGCGCATCCAATTCTGCCGTGATAGCGAAGAGGCCCGGCTGTAAGTTTGAAAATGAAGTTTTAAGAAAATGGGCTCAGAAGCGCCTGAGCGGAAAATTGTATTGTAAGAGGCTTGACCTCCGTTCTTTGTCAAATTCCAACCAATGATCCGAGAAATTCTTAGTAATCGTTTCGATGATTAAAAATCGACCGATTTTATTTCAATTATATAACTTAAAATGGGAATTATTCATTTTCATACATATAAAGCTAGCCGCAAGTACTATCTTCTGCATGCTTTCCTGGTGGCGCTTTAGATTTCGAAAATTAGACCACTTTTGAAAGAAATTCGATTTCGAAAATTAGAAACTTAGGTACGGCCCTCTTCGCTATCATGACGAAATTTTTTGCAGGTATTAGAGTCTCTTGGTAGAGAGAGTTGCGGCACGTCGGCTCATAGATGTCACAAACTAGAGATAAAAATTACAGGTGGCGCAAACACATTTTCAGGTTACAAATTGGCAAAGAAAGGCGGCATTTTACCTCATAGTATTGTTTTTATTGGCTCTTTGGAGGGGTAATGTTCCTTACGGCTGTTTTGTCTGAAAAAACGTATTTTTGGCGCATTACGGCTTTCTCAAATATCTCGTTCTCATACAAATCAAACGAATTTTGCTGTTTTAACCATTTCATTGATTTCATGTAAAATAGATTAGACCACTTTTGAAAGAAATTCGATTTCGAAAATTAGAAACTTAGGTACGGCCCTCTTCGCTATCATGACGAAATTTTTTGCAGGTATTAGAGTCTCTTGGTAGAGAGAGTTGCGGCACGTCGGCTCATAGATGTCACAAACTAGAGATAAAAATTACAGTGATTGAATATTTTTCGCAGTTCTTCATTGTCTTTGATCTACTCATTCCCCAATTCCTTTCCTCCAATCCTTCTCTTATCCGTTCATTTCTAAAAATGCCCTGATTCCCCAGTTCATTATCTTTGGAGTTGGTAAAAATGTAATCCTTATTCCGATTTGTGACACTTTAAGTGCCTAAAATACAGGAGCCAATCAGAAATGGATTGCTAGTGTCTTTACTATTATTATGAAGGGGCTCCAGCAGGTATCGCAGCAAAAATAGACCACTTTACCTGGAATTCAAAAAGAAAAAGCCACAAATAGTGATGAGGAAAATTTGAAAACGTTCGGGAGCATAGAAACTTTGGAAAACGTAAAATTTCATTCAGAAACCACCAACTGCAAGTTCTACGAGAACTTACAATATTGTACTATAGCATGCTGTGTTACTGATGAACAATAGCTGTAGGTAATAGTAATAAAAACTTACAAATCCAAAGGGTAGAAAAAGAGCACAACATATTTTTCTTTGAACTGATCGAGAGAAATTTCTTTGAACTGCCCACTGACAACAGCAGTGCCTTTGAAGATAGGGGCAGGTTTCTCTAGATGAAGAACCATTTTGATCTGAAAAAAAGAGGTTTACTGGGACACCAATTTTCTCACAGGTTTAAGTAAGGAAGACCAGGGGGGTCATTCCATATAGAACCTACCAGCCATGCAACCGCCCGACTCGGATTTTAATGATCATTTTTTTTTTCTTGATCAGACCACCAAATAAAGAACTTATGCAAAATATTAGGTCTCAAATCGAAAAACTCACCGAGATATGAATTTTTGAAGTTTTAAGAATTTTCAAGAAAGAGGCGTTTCGAACTTCCGTGAAAGAGCGGGTCATTTTTCCCAAAAAAATTCACCCCGGGCCCATTTTTCGTTGGATTGAAGTGAAAATTTGACACAGTGTCAATGAAAGTATGTAGATTCGAGAAAAAAAATGCATAAAATGTTCGACTTCTCTCATTGATGTGCTGCTGTTGATTGTTCGTTGTGATTTTGTCCGATTTTAGCGACAAAACCTTCCCCTCTTCAAATGCCCATAACTTCTTCATCTTCTGTTGGTTTATTGGCTTATATTCCATACGTGGAACCTACAGCCGTCTATAGACAAAATTTCATACTTGGTATTAAGGGAAATGTAGGGATAAGGAAATGTTTAATAAGTAGAGTAATTTGTTTATTCTAGTCGTCACCATTTTCACGCTTAGAGACCCTTCTAAGCGGCTTCCTATACCGGGGTATACTAGGTCATGGAAAACATTCAAAGTGAACATACGGTGCATGTAGGATTTATATTCTTTCTTCTCCTTCTTCTCCTCCTTCTTCTTCTTCTTCTTCTTCTTCTTCTTCTTCTTCTTCTTCTTCTTTTTCTTCTTCTTCTTCCTCCTCTTCTTCTTCCTCCTCTTCTTCTTCTTCTTCTTCTTCTTCTTCTTCTTCTTCTTCTTCTTCTTCTTCTTCCTTTTTTTTCCTTTTTTTTTGATTGGAAGATAAGGACCAAAGGACTCTTGTTGTATAGGAAGCACACTAACTTCAGGAGTGAATATAGCAAGGGATTCACTCTTAAAGGAAGGGAGAAAATATGTACAAAAATCATGTATTTGGATATTTGACGATAAAAAAAATACAACTTCAGTTTGGTGAAAAATCTGGGCCCCCAATCAATTGCTTTTTCAATGTAATGGTCGGTTAATGAGATTTTCTTAGCGCTTTTATCAGTTACACGAGCCTCTCTTGAGTAAAAATGTTGGGAGAAGGGTTATGGAAACCCAACATACCATCTTTTTATTCCCCAGGCGCATTTCACATGCAGAGAGAACCATTCAGTAAAAATGTGAGCAGTTTTTGAGTTGCTACTCCAAAGTTAGGGCCGATAACACTAGGCAACAAAATTTTGAGTTGAATTTGAAAATCGAACGGGACCTGTTTCTTTCCACTCAGGGGGGGTCTACTGATGACTAAAATGAAGGCCTAAAAAATTCCCTAGCTCTGTTTTTCAAAATATTTAGGGTTTTTTGCATTTTTAAGGGTAAATTTTGAGTATTTAAGGGGATTATTTAAATAATTTATGGCCAGTTTTAATAATTGTTTCCAATTGACTTTAAACTCGGTTAGCCTCATTCAGATGGGTCTACTGAAGACAAAAATGGGCGCAAAAAAACAGAAAGCCTATTTTTTTAATTTTTAGGATTTTATTTTAGTCAAAAAAGTATGTATTTTTGGTCTTTTATGGGGTTTTAGGGGCTTAGAGCTCTTGATTCATGATTCAACTTTGAAATGACTTTTTAAACGGCTAGAGACTCTGTCTGTTCTCGTTGTACTGGTCTATTAAAGCCAAACATGGGTATGGAACAAACATTTTACCGCCTCTGTTTGAAATTTGGAGGATTTTTTGAGTATAAATGGCTCGATTTTTGTGGGTCTTGAGGCGATCAGAGCTGTGATTAGGCTTATAATTTAAGACGGTTTTTTGACGGCTTTTCTCCCCTTCTTCCTTCATTAAGTGGGTCTCTTAAAAGGAAAATCACCCGTCTGAAAAGTATTTTGCTTCGCTTCTTTGAAATATTAAGGATTTGCTTGAGGAAAGCTGCGCATTTTTGAGCATTTGAGTGAACAAGCTACTGCTCTGAACTAATTGCTGCAATGAAATTAAATTAAAAACTAACAGACAATGGGAAGCTCTAACCTCGATTTTAACCTTTGGGCGACTGTTTTTAAGTTGAAAATATACCAAAAAAGTATTATACCTTTTGATACACTTCATTTTTTCATGTTTTCTTTGAACAAAAATAAGAAAAAAAAAAAAAACATAATTCAAATCCAGCTAGACTGAAGAAGGAAATGAGGTCCGTAATTCATGTGCTCAATTTACTCTACTCATTTATTTATTTATTATACATGTATTTCCATGAATGACACATTAGATAAAAAAGAATAAATTGAAAGAATGAGATTAAACACTATCTCGACGCTTTCTTTTGGATTGGCTGGATTTGAACTATGGTAATTTTTTTTTTTTTTTTTTTATTAATCCAATTTCCAATCGACGTAGATTCGGCGGACACGCATCGTTTCGGTCGACACCGTTTCGATCGACAGCGTTACAGTCTACATAGTTTCGATCGCCGTTTCATCCACGCCTTCTAGAGCCACAGAACACTCTCGTACACACGTACACTCCGAATGTACATTCTGGCCTACTGCGCATGCGCGGGCATCGCGAATGTACACTCATCATTCTCTTGGAAAAGAATGTACAGTTTGACGAGAAGAAGAAGATAACCGCGACGATCTTTTACTCATTCCTGTAACTTATAGTTGTTCAAGAGAACAAAATGAGGAAATTCTCAATGCCCGCGCATGCGCAATACGCCAGAATGTACAAGCGGGATCGTTATTCCTGCGAAAAATAGTTTTCCGTAACCCGCCGTACATGACTCAGTTGACCACAGGAGATTACCCGGGCTCGAAGTCATGTTAGTGAAGAAAGCCTTTCCCCTCATTGATATCGCACCTTCTCCGACCGTATCTCTCACATCTTCGTTTTCCTTCATTGCAGCATGCATCAAATTGCGATCATCCGGAATATACGATCACACGTCATATCTGATCGAATCCGTCGCCCACTTTTACTGATACGGAGGACAAGACTTGTCTCACTGGGTCAACAGTCGGTTAGTTTAATTTCATTTCGAAGAGGACAGAAGATCCATTGCTCTTGGCGCCCTGACCCTGCTGACATCTAGGCGCCAGTGTAAGGCGCCATGCAAGCATGGGGGGCAACCAGCCTTTGTGTTTGAGCTAATTGAAAATTACTTCGATTTTTTGTTTCTTTTTAATATTACTTTCTTTTTAAAAAATCAAAATATTCAAAACTTGTGTAACACAAGTCGTTTGTTATGGATCACTTCCTTTTATCAGGTATTGTCTTGATTATGATACGAAATTAAAAAAATATTAATCATGTTTCAATCGTGTTTAATCTTCATAGTATTTTCTTTCCTTTTATTTAATACTCG